AGGGCCAGTTGTACAATGTCAGTTAAAACTTAAGTTTGTAGATTAAACTGTAGATTTTAGGTTTCTGCTGTTGTACAATCAACGGTAATAGAGAAATCTGCAGTTAAATCTTTACTGGCACCTTACCTTACGGTAAAACATAGAAAACTGCAGTTTGACAAAAAAACGGCACACGCACGAACATTGTTTACATTTTGTGTAAGGTTATGTTAATTGGTAACTACAACTACTGAATATCAAGTGAATATGAATGAAATATTTGATATATTTGAGGAATTAATGTCGGATGATGAGGAAATAATTAATTTTGTTGAAAGACCCCGTCGCCGTAAACAGTTTAGACAACGAAAAAATCATTTTGAAGAATGGGACGACGAGGCCTTTTTGGACAGGTTTCGACTGTCCAAGGATTGTATTTTGGCAATCTTAGAACAAATTGAAGAACAAATATCTTATTTAACAGACAGGTAGAAGTTTGTTCTGAGAATTTCTGAGTTATATGAATCTTTCGATGTTACAGAAATGAAGCGGTTGATGCTCTAACGCAACTACTGTTAACACTCCGTTTTTATGCCTCTGGTTCTATGATAATTGTAGCAGGTGATTTTGGAGGTATACACAAGTCAACTGCCTCCAGGATTATTGCACGAGTTACAAGAGCAATAGCCTCATTGGCGCAACATTATATTAAAATGCCTTCGACTGACGAAGAGAAAGCTCAAACAACAAGAAAATTCTATAATGTTTCCCGGTTTCCCAAAGTGATTGGGGCTATAGATTGTACACATGTTCGAATCCAATCTCCAGGTGACTACTATATCTATTGCCGCTTTCAACATGCACTCCATAATGCATTTGTAGGTGGTGATGATGCCGAACGTTACCGGAATCGTAAAGGATATTTTTCGATTAATGTTCAAACTGTATGTGATGCAGAGCTGAGAATACAAAACATAGTAGCTCGATGGCCCGGATCAGTTCATGATTCTACTATCTTCGGAAATAGTAGGTTGAAGGCGCTAATGGAAACCGATTATCAAGATTATTTTCTCGTGGGAGATTCTGGGTACCCTGTGGAAAATTATCTTATGACTCCGTTGTTAAACCCAAATACACCTGCACAGCATTTGTATAATGAGGCTCAAATTAGAACGAGAAACGTAGTCGAGCGTTCATACGGTGTTTGGAAACGACGCTTTGCAGTTTTATCACTTGGACTGCGTGTAAAGCTGACAACAACATTAAATATAATTGTAGCAACTGCGGTGCTGCATAATATTGCAATCAACATGAAGGTTATTAATCCACCTCCTGTTGAAGTAAATATAGAAAATGTGGAATGGGATGTGGCGGTTTACGAAGAGAGACATGGAAGAGATAATGTTCGAACAAACTTAATCGACAATTATTTTTCGCATTTATTGTAATTGTTGTACAAGAAAACTTAAATAAAAAATTAACATTCATTTTAATACTGTAAAATTCTATTCGGTATTTAAAATATTCAAAAGATTTTCTTTATTTAACATTTTAATTTGTAATTGCAAGTATTTTGCCCGTAATTGATGTTCAGTTTCGTTATGTTTTATCTTCTGAAGGTGCTCCTCATGCTGTAACTTAATTTGTTGAGTTTGAGCCTGAATTTGTAGGTTAATTAATTCTAATCGAGCATGTGAAAAAGCATTAATCTTCTCTCGACAATCATTTGTTAAATCGTTTTTCCCTTTTTTTGCTGTTCTGACATCTGAAATAACAGGTGTGGGATTAGGATTACCCATAAATGTTCTATAATGTTTACTCACTTGTTATGCGTTTTCGTTTTACTGCAATCGGAGTGGTGGTTGTAACTGGAACACTTGGTTTACCTGTGTCACTCTGATCATTAGAGGCCATTGGGACTACATCACTTAATTCGGTGTCATTCATGTTATTATCATCAGCTATACTTTCAATTTCATTCAATTCATCTGAAGAAACTACAGTGCAATGTACTGTCTTATCTTGTGCAACAGTAAGAACTGGAGTCTTTATGGTTTTCAGTTTGTCTGGAGTCCAGCCGGACCATTTCATCGATTCAACTGTCACATCAGCACCATCATTAACTACTTCGATTACATCACTATCAAACTGATTAATTAGCCCTTCTAAACTAATTCCAATAATTTCTTTTATTTTTTGATCTGTTTCAGTTATTAATACCGGTTTATCGACACCTCCACCCGTTTTATATACATTTCGCTTTTCGGTTGCAAATTTTTTTTTTGCATTTTTTTTTAGATTCTCATATTTACCTTTAATATTTTTACAACTTCTATATACATCATTATTGGCATTAAATTCGTTAGTAATTTCCTCCCATGTGGTTTGTTTTTGTTTCCATGTAATTGCGTCTGTTTTTTTATTTTCTATAATGACCTTATATTTATTAACTAAGGTCATTAACAGTTGTACTTCTTGTTCTTTAAATTTTCCATACTTATATTCACATTCCATTTTCAAGCAAGAGAAACAACTCGGTTTCATACACCATTCATAAACATAACCTCCAATCTGATTGCTAAAATTAACATACATGAAGTTGCAGACATACCTAGGGCGTTCAGAAAATTTGTTAAAATTAAACTTCACTGTAAATGAACTTGTACAACACAACAAATGTTAACTGAAGTTAAAACTGAAGATTATGGTTTGTTTCAATCTGCAGTTTAAACCTACATTGTACAACTGGCCCTAACTATAACTAGCCTTATCCTAAGGTGGCAAGATACTTTTTTCTGTTCGCCACATTCATATTGTATATATAAACAAAATCCAAACAAACTTTTGCGTTAAGTATTAATTTCGACGATTAATTTTCTATATTGTGAATGTTAGTGTGCGTTTACAATGAACGTATACGTAAGAAATACATAAAACGTAAAAATTTCGCAAAGTTGAACTGAATAGAAACATACGAAGGTGTTTACAATGAACGTAATTTTTACGTACGTATATGTAAGCAATATGTAAGTCTTGCCCATAGTCGTAAAGGTTGAAAATGTTTCAAAGTTACGTACGGTCAAAGATCATACTACTTGTAGTATGATCTTTGGTTTATTGTAAACAGCGAAGTAAATTTACGGAAACGATACGGATATGTACGAGTTATGGTTTATGAAATATTTACGTATACGTTCATCTTAAAGGCACACTTACTCATAAAATACATAGCTTTAAACAATTACGTTAATTTTCGATTGTTAATTGGGGTATTAATTTTGAGGTTGTGAATGCTACTTTAACGTCATCCTGTACAATACGAGTGACAGTAAAATTTATCGCCTAATGAGCCACTGCCACCAGATGAGTAATCTTTGACGTCATTTGAAAATGGTCGTCCTCCAATATTAAAAAACTCACGCAAATTAAAAACCGTATTTATTGATATTTACAACAAATTTAAACGATTATATGAATTTCGAAACAATATAGAGATGTAAGTAGTCAATTTTGCGTAACGAGTTAAAAAATTACCCATCTCAAATTTGCGCTTTAACGGATCAAGGCCCTTCGAGTTAATTTTCATTTGCCTTCTTCGAAGACGATTTTCTACGCTTTGACGTACAAAATCGGGCGTAAATTCTTTTATCGAAAGTAATAAATATGTAGGTGGCTGATTCTATAAATATCACTTGTGCTATTAAACCGGCATTATCCACTATTAATAAACTTTCTTTTAGATTTTTTTAATGATATGATATAAAAATGCCTGTGTTATCACCACGTAGAAGTAGCGCCTCACCGCTTACGGGAACGTATAGATCGACTTCGTCCACAATAGACCGACCATTTTACAATAGCACCTCCAACTCGTACGTGCCGCGCATTAGCAGCTATAGCGAACGATACACCACACGAAGCTACATCGATTCGGATGGGCGTAAAGTGATATCGAGGTTAGTACGTCTTAAACCAAATCGGCCCACTGTATTGGTTGTCGTTTCTTAGACAAGGTAGCATCACCGAGGATGGGATCACGACAAGATTCAAGGAGGAGACGCGCGAAAGTTCCGTTAGACGCGATTCAATCTCGCGCGACTCCGGCATAAGTTCCCTCCGCGACAGCTCACTGACCCGTACCGACCCGAGAGTGTCGGCGATAAGCGTCGCCGAATCCGTCGCGGAAATGCGCAACAAGTACTCGCCTTCAAATTATGTGCCGGCGTGTCTACGAAACGTCGACAATATCTCACGATCGAAAAGCATAAACGATATAGGAAAGCCGCCGCTCGAACGCGAGAAGGCGACGAAGTACAAGGTAAATGACGGCTTGAGTTACAGTAACGGCTTGGGTGTGACAAATTCTAACAATACTAACAGTCTGGAGAAGATGTGCGACAACGTGCTCAGCCTGAACGAGGACGACAACGGCAATCGGACGGCGTCCGTCGCCGAAATACGCAAAAAGTTTGATCAAAGCAATCTGCACAAAACTTCAAAGAACGACCTTACGATCGAAGGTATCGGCGTGAAGATATCCGAAAATCGCTTCAAGAAGCAGGACAGTCTCGACAAGCACAAGATTAAAAACGGTTCGCCGAAGATGGGCGACGAGAAGCGGCCGGCGAAATTGTCCAAGTTGGAGGTGCACGAGCGGTCCGCCATGGACGACAGCGCGGATCTGTCAAACTTCGACAAGTGCTTGGCGGCCGATCTCACGAAAGGCACAAAATTAAATCAGTTTACTAGCGATACCGAAAACGGACACGAGAATTCCGATGTTCTAGTCGACGATGGATACCGAAATTTTAATCACACGAGTAATTTCGCGTCGTACATACCGTCGATGAGCGTCAACCAGGGCAACGGGGACTTCGTCAAGGATGAGATTTCGATAGATGAAGGGAATGATATGGAAAATCGGAATTTACGTAACGAAAATAGTCGCTATCACAAGGCAAAAGTTAATGTAAGTACAGGCCGCGTGTCGCAAATTTATTTATAGCTCGTACTTGACATTCAAAAATAATTATTTAGTTTAAAAGAGAATTATCGAGTGACCATGTCCGTTACAAATCTCACCTACAGCATCTCCGTAAGTTGTGTTGTGTGTTTTTTCTTCATTTCGCCGTTACATAATTAACTGCCTGTTTAAAAATAGACCAACCACCATTTTCATAATTTTCACCTTTCCAATGTCTAATTTCTACGTTGATTTTTTGATGTGGTATTTTTGGAATGGAGCCTTAATTTTGTTATTGTTTGGATTTGTGTCGGGCATCGCCGAGAGTTTTTATACAGCGCACAAAACACAATCTATCTATTCTCATTACTATTACCGACTCGAGGTATGTCACCTAAATGATCTACTTATTTATATATCATGTCGAGCTCCTTTCAAGGACTTTATTCTTACTGCCATTACTTGGGTATGTGGGATTCATTTTTGTGTCATTGTAAAAGTAGGGCGTACAAAAAAAATTTGATGGATGGAGGGGACCAAAGCAAACTTTTTCCAAAATATTTCCTTTTGTCAGATTTGTGTTTCTTTTTTACATTTTTTCTCAGAAATCATGAAGTAGAGAGAAAACTAACAGCTTTCCTAGGTTTTGGAGTTAAATTTAGATATAGTTTTTAAAAATTTAAAGAAACAAATGAAATTACTGCACTAGATACATTGGAAATGGAAGAGTTGTTACTCGTCTATTTAGTTCCGTAAAGAGACCACAGGGGGCTTTTAGATTAGATTCAACAAATTCAATGCATATGTTTTCTTGTTTAAGTATCCCTTGTATACAGGGTATCTTAAATTGAGTAGGATAGCATGACTATCTTTTATAGTTGTTCCACCTAAGTGACTGAATGTGCTGCCACACCCTGTCGAATTGTGGTACTATATTATGATTATTCAATTGGTTTGTGTATTCTCTAATTTAAAGAATCTCTGCAATGACCCTCTCACCTTTACTTATTTAGATCAAATTACATTTAAAGGGAAATGCAATAATATATCCGTGTGGGCGGCTATGAGAATTTAGATTACGTTAAGCGAATATTACGCACTCTTATCGCAGAGGTGGAATATTAAATCGTAATTTGTAATTCAACAATTTTTCTCATAAGTACTTTAATGTATTCTTTACATATGATTTTCAAATTAGGCCAGCTCCTAAACGAATGCATCAATCGTGGAGATTTTTTAGGACGTGTAAGATACATATTGAACTTAGGTCTGAGTATACATTAAAATTTAACCATTTACTTTAAACTTGTAAAAAAAATAAATAAATTTGCGTGCCGCGCAACCTCGACTTTGTGAGGCCATAAAGTATTTATTTCTAATAATTTAGTAATGTAATAGGTATCCACGCCTAAGTTGGGGTCTTCATCAATGATAACTGAAGAAATCATCTAAATTGATCCATTCGTTTGGGTACTGGCCTTAATCAAAATTTATTTGACACAATTTGGTATATTTAAAGACGGTTCTGGGGTTGGTAACTTTACTGCAGGTAAATGCTCCATTAATTATTCAAATTACTTGGAACATTACATTGTATCGCAGATACTGGCGATTAACCTTTTGCCTGATAAATATGTAAGTTAATCACAGGCCGTGGGCGTTAAAAATTTTATTTATAGTCCAAAGCAATGCATTGGGGATATAACAGCTGTATATTCATATTTGTAAAGATAATACTACTGTTTCTTCATTCCGGTTGTAATTGATACCTATCCTATCTGTTCATGCAAGAATAACTATTTTTTTTTTCCTCTCTATAATTCAATAATTCGAAATGAATTTTATTTTGATATATAAAAACGATTCGGTTATGGGTAATGGTACCCAAAAATCCTTGACGTATATCCGTGTGCGTGCGGTGCGCAAGAACGACCCTACCATGTTTGAACAGAAGATACATACAAATAGACGACAATCGTGCGCGCAGAGCTACAAGTGTGACTAGTTTGGGGCCCCATTTTACAACATCGTCAAACCTTAAGGTACCTAGGTGCCAAACCCAATTAATAATTGACATCGTTTATTCGGTAATTTGTTAATTTAATTTCTACATGTTGGGCAACAGACATTTTTACAGCCCATTAACAATATTATTCTTGTTGCGCTAACACTATCATTCTTACCTCCAAATTGTTGTAAAAATAAAAACTTCATAATTTCACTAATTTTTACAAGTTCGAAGTAATTAGTAAAGAGTACAATTTGAGTATAAGTACAAGGTGAGTCAACGATTGCGCGGAGTAACTTAATGCCTTGAAGATAAGATTTTTCGATAGAGTGCTTTTGTATTATGATATGGTTGAATATTCTCCACATTTTAAAAATATTTCGAATTATACAGGGTGCGCCCACAAAGTAGGGCGCCAAAATGGTACATTTTTAAAAATAGTTTTAATGCTTTTGAATGCATTTTTGAATTCTACTTGTAATTGTACGTCTTTTTTATTATATGGTTAATATCCGAAAAACTAGTAGTTTTAAAGATAATTCGATTTTTAAGAAAAATTTGGCATTTGCAAGCGTCAGTATACAGTGTGGTGATTTGCGTCACGCATCATAGGGATTTCAATGTAAAATTCATAACATTCGATTATTGGTAACTGGACATCTTTTTGTTTTATAAAATTCCATGGCATCACAGATTATTGAAAAAGATGCGGGGGTTATTTTTCCAATTTTTTGTCTTCATTATGTAAAAAATTGGAAACTAACGCGGCTGATTTACGTAAAAAATTGTTGTCTATAAAAAACCTTAATACATTTTTGCTCTAAAATAATTTGGGGAGCCAATAATGGCATGCTATGAATTTTACATTGAAATCCCTATGATGCGCGACGCAAGTCACCACCCTGTATATTGTCATAATTATTACTTAAATTTTGATTCTAGGTTTTATATCTTTTATCCTGGGTTAAGTAAAAGTCAAATAAATACATCTACTATGAAACATTAAAAATACAGCTTAAAGGGTGTTTTTTTTGGTAGGTCTAAAGTTGCAGAACTTTATATTAAAAAATCTCACTTTTTTTAAATGGAACACTGTAATGATCTTAGCCTCCTACTATCTTGGCGGTCTAACGCCAACTTCAAGTTACACCGGAATATTTGACCATATTCTGTAGTAGCGGGAACGCCAAACTAACATGGCTACCTTTTTGAATATTCTCGTTTACATTTCTCGCGAGAATCTGTCACTCGGGGGCCACTCCAAGTGCACTAAGATCGTGATCGTCATGTAGGACACCTACGTTGTGTAATAACTGGATTCTCAGCAGGCACTGAGGGCGTTTTATGGGTAAGGAACACCAAAATCAATAGCTGATTAAGATTATATTGAAACCAATACCAATACGGCGCCCCTGCAGAGGGTCTTAAGTTGTTCTATACTACTCCGGCATTCACCTTACGAATTAGGAAAACTGCAGGAAAACCTAATTCGGAGTAGTCCTATAATGAACAAAGCCTACAGCTAACATCTAATGTATAGCACTTTTGAGCCCTCTCGAAACCGTGGTAAATACTACATACACGCTATGAGTAACCAAAATGGAATCGAGTCATTCCCCAGGTATTACAACACATACATCAGACAAAACTAAGAGATATTAAATATCCCTCGCCGGGCGATAGGATTACCCATGCCCAGTGGGGTGCCTGTAGACGTGGACTAAAATTGTTGGGTTTCGGAACGAGTGAAAATGAATAGATAAAAATTGCCTTTTGTTTGCATGGCCACCTCACTATTATGTAAATTACATATAACTTATTTAAGATTAGAATATAAAAACCAAGAAAACCAAGATGTTTCGAGATGTATTTATTTGACTTTTACTTAACCTTCCTAATACCAGGTCAATTTTAAAACACCTAGTACCAGGTGGGGCGAATTTTCGCCCCAGTGTTGTTTTTGCAGATTTAATACAAAATTAATGTTAAAAATGTTTTGAAAACGTTTTTAGTAATAACTATTACTAGAATGATTCTTTGAATGAGTAGAAATTAATTAGGTCCAAATGCGAAACTGCATAAACAAACCGAAAGTGTAATTTCCATAATTAGTAATTAAATAAACGTTAAATTTCTAAATACGTAATTGTGGGCAATAATTATATTACAATTACAAATTACCGACACCAAATACCACGTGGGGCGATTATTCGCCCCACAAATGTACGCTCAGCTTTTTTTAAATAATAATCTCATTATTTTTAAAAATAACCTCATAACTGGAAAAAAATGCGCCGTAGGTATTTCTTTATTTGGGCAAGTCTACAAAAAGTTTTGTTTGATTTTTGTATTTTGTACAGGAATGAATCGATTAACTTGAAAGCCCTTTCAAATATATCGCCAAAATAATAATAATAATAGTCGTTTATTGAGTTGCCGTTTACAAGTTTATGATAGTAACTAAAAAATAATTTATGTGACAACCCAAAAGGGCGCGAAGTTCAGATTGGTACGGCATCCATACCATCTGCTCTCCCACTTAACCCTTTTAAAATAAATTGTTAAATCATTTATGACAGCTAAGGCACATTGGAGAAACAAGTAAAAGAATAGAAAACGCCATTAATTTATTGATTTTGTAGTAAAGACTTGTAAAGGAGCCTCTTAAATGATGGTGTGTCACAAGATTTTAAAGCCGGACTGAGGGAATTATAAATTTTGCAGATGTTATAACTAATAGAACGTTGATATAGAGCAGTTTTATGAATCGGTACCGTTAGAATATTCTTTGATCTAATGTGGATACTATGGACATCCGTTCTAAGAGTTACTTTATTAAATAGGTAAGATGGCTTTTTTATAAGCAATTAGGCGATGATATACATAAGCAGAATGTAACAACCTTCGATCAGACATACTTAACCATTTTAATTCTTTTAACTTGTGACTAATGTGATTCCGTCTCCTTAATCCAAAAATTAAGCGAAGACTCAGTCAG